CTCGTAAAGTAAAATTACTTAGAATTGAACAAATCATTTTTTCTAAACAATTATTATCACAGTGACCGTAAACATACTGTCATAATATAACTTGTAATTCGAGGGTTTGAGTCTCAAAAACAACTAGTTGTTGAATTCGACTCACTGGAGAATCCGGGTATCGATCCCGGTACCTCTCACATGCTAAGCGAGCGCTCTACATTAATATTTCTATTGTAGTTATGGTTTTATGAGGATGTTTACCATCATCATTGTAACCAAATAAACAATACTAAACAGACGCTTTACATGTTGTCATATATGTTTCTTAATTAATGTATTCGAACAGATTTGAAGGTGCGCGATATAGTATCTTATTGGTGCGTTCGCGTCGCGACCTCGGGGGCCATGGGGCGCTTCGAGCCTGCGCAGATTTCGTTGGAATGCTATGTGACATCTCGGGCTGTTTGAAGAGGTTTTGGGAAAAGATAGCCTACGACGAAATCGATAGGTAAAAAAATGTTGGGTAATTCTCTCAAACATAAAATGCAACTGGGTTGTATTTTTTGAAATAAATGTTATACATACTACACGAGTCGTGCTTGCATACCAACAGAACAATACAATCACGTTAGATAACTTCATCTGACTACGTTCGCATACAGGACTTCATCTTCGAGTCAATTCGTTGTCACGGGTTTACAGAACCACGTCACTTGGCTCGAGGCAGCGAAGCCCCGGGGGTCCGACTTAAAGAATGATCTGGTACGCATGTCCGTGAAAGAAAACGCGTTAAAAGGGTGTTTTTAAAGAAAAGCACGTTAACGCGCGTTACGCGTTTAGGGTTACCATTTCAGTAATAGACAAAAAGGGTGACTTTTCCGGTACTGCCAACGTGATAAGGGCGGTTATATTTTAAATGAGATTATTGTTTTTTTTATTGCTTTAAGGAATTCAATGATCGCAAAAACGAGGAAAACGTCCGTCCCCCACCCCCTGGTTAGCGATCCTCGATCACGGGTGATCACGGCATATGATCAACCCGTGCTCACACTTAGGGTCTCATGCCACTAATCAACCAATGGCAGCTCAATTTAAATGCCTTGCAAGAACCAATGAAATATTTTAAATATTTTGTTTTCAGGTGCTCCCTGTTTGAGGGCGTAATCAACTGGTTCAAAGGTGAGACCAACATGTGGTCTTTTGTTTACTACTTAGCGGCTGTGTACCTGTCGGGTTATTCTGTGTGTATTTGAATGTTCTAATCTTGGTGTTTTTCCAGTGATTTATCTTGGTGCAATCCAAATACAGTACGTGTGCCTTGTTTACCTGAGATTTGCAAGAGTTTGAGCTGGCCAACATTTTTTCATGTGGTTGATTACTGGCATGTTGATTTCTCATTTTTGAGCCATGTTTTCAATTTTGTTCATCATTTTCATATAGCAATCTCGTCATATGTTAACATTGTCGTCTATGAAAATTCAATTAGTGGTATGAGCCCTGAAAGGTTAGAAAGCTCAAATATCGCGAGACCAGGCGCGAGTTCAAGGTGCGTGATCTTTTAGCTTTCTAACAGTGAAAGGGATACGAAATTTTGACCTTTTTAAACGTGTTTAGGGTCATTTTGAAAACCCCTTTCACAGACATGGGTTTCAGGTATTTCCACAAGTCGGACCCCCGGGAGCGAAGCGAACGCATCCCAGATCTTGTTGGGTTAGCAGGCGTATTTTAGTGGCGTGCAAGGGCATGTTTTGCTCATATTTTTGGCACGAAGAATTTCGATTGAAACGTTTGATGACAGCTAGATTTGTAATTTGCGCGCTAGGGAAGCTAAATCGCTGACAGCTCAGTTCAGTGCCCTAGTGGCGTCTGTAGTACGAGTCAACAAAAGTGAGCGTTAATGGACAACGATAATAGAGCCATTTAAATGAAATTGATAAACAGTTAAAATAGAAACCCTAATATATATTCTCCTAACATGGCATTGTTCTGACAATTTATACACCTTTTTAAATATATACTGACCTATAGACTGTTTTCAAACTACAATAAAGTACCAATCATTATTACCGAATGACGCCGTTAGTGTATTGCGTAGTGTATTATAAATAAGGTACTGCTTCTATATAAAATGGCATCTTCTCAACATATAATGACGTAAACGATACAATATATAATGTTATTATATCGATATATGATGTCATTATATAAAATATATGATGATATTGCGTCACTGCCTGATCGGGAGTAGTTATCTGCATACGATGCCCACTCTATTGAAACATACAGGTCATGACCCAAAAAGGTCACAGACTATATTGTCGTACGTACGGTCTGTATGCACAGCAGAAATCGGTGGTTGGGCAGCTTTAAAATTGCCGGTAGCCAGAGCTTAGTTTGATACATCATGCTAAAGCCGTGATTATATCTCTCGTGAATCTGTTTGAGGGGACCATGCTCGCAGCATGAACTCTGCCATTGATGTGTGCAGCTATACCAATTATACCAGTCTATCCGAGTGTTTATACTCCATGTAGAACACCGCCATTTTGAGTGTTACAGGTAAATTGAATCCAGTGTTTCGTCCCGTTCATTGCGTAGTACAGTGTAGTTACGTACACGGGTGTAAAGGTATCACTGAGTTTGACGCCGACACCGAACTGGAACTTGTGTTATAATACTGGAAACATCATGACGACGATGCTCACAGACCCCGATCTTTGTATCGGCGTGGCTAACATGGAACATTTTCTTAGCGACCACCTCAGCGATTTCCTAGTAGAAACGAGACCGTTCAACATAAACCAAGGGAATTTCGAAGAGGAAGCGAAAATTAACATTTTTGTTGGATCACCTGCATACCACGACTACTTCCCACACAATTATGGTTGGTACGTACTTAGTAGTCATTTGATTGTTGTTGTTATCAGAGCATTGATCAGTTCACCTCGGTGCGTGTATTCTCACGCCCTGTTTAATTGAACGATATTTACACACAATATACTAATTTGTGGGAATACTGCGATCTAATCTAATTACAGTGTAGTCGATTTGATTAAAAAATAACGCAAGTTCCGATGGTGGTGTTGGTCCAATTACAGAATACCAGCATATAAAACATCCCGCACTGTTGGATTGTTTACATGGCCTTTAGTACTTGAATAACTCGTACATAAAGACATTGCGTATGGACACAACCATTATTTTTGTTAGGGGTGACAGTGTTAGATTTGTTTGTTTAGTGATAACAAACCATTCGTGTCGATCACTGATTTGTTCCTCAGTCGTGTAGATAATTATTCCTTCATTTTGTATCCCTGTAATCGTCTCAGATTCCAGGCATACATTGCAATTGCGAATTATAAATCACCACTATCAGAATTAGAGGTTGCTGTGACGTCATATCTTTACTCGACAAGTGGAAACGTCTGTTCGCATGTAAAATTCTTTTCAACAAAAGCCCGCAAATTTAACTAAATTTGTTAAATTCTAAAGGTGGTGATTCAGAGAATGTCTAAACGCGGCTTCTCCTCACACGTTATCTTGCTATACACGCGTCTCCTCGTCGAATATGGCGCTGTTGGGGATTGATTATTGTTTGAATAATATCAAGAACATGCAGTGAACTATGATTGTGTGTTAAGTTTATGCCTGCTCTGTTTTCATTAAATATTTGAATTTTACAGAAAATATGTTTTTTTTTACAGTTATTTGTATAATACAATTGAATTAAAAATATATAATATTATTAGATATGTTGACGTGAAATGACACAATCAGCTGACTTGGCATTGATTAGTTGCGGTAGTGGTATGGCCAATTTCAATTGAATTCCCTGAATTAAAATCAACATATACTCGATATATTTATCTTTATTTATATTTAACTCAAAACAATACATACGTTAATGAATTCGTTATCAAATTTCATGTGATTAAAATATTAAATATTTCAACTTTGGCATGCTATCAGAATATTTCCGCCATTCGTGTTAACCTTAAAGCGGGGTAGTTGTAACCTGTGCATGCGGCAGACAGTCGTAGCGTGTTTAGATACACAATAATGCAAAACCGTTCTGTACATCTGTCCCTACACATCGGAGTCACCACCGTTTACAAACACTATATTATGTTACTTTCAACAGACTGAATACAAATTTTGCAGATTCAGATTATTTTGATACTTTCTGTTTCGAACAAATTCTTGTGAATATGCATAGGCAATATACGCGCCATAAGTTGGAAATAGGATACATATTAACAAAATGATTTAATATATTCGTAATCAAATTAACTTAATTGTATATGACGTAGACCCTGAAATAATGTCAATTTGAGACTTGTTATGCGATAAATGACAAACCCCCAAAATATAAGAACATTCACGGATGTAAATTAGTATGACTGCTATGTTCGTACTTGTTTGTTTTTCTATTTTCAGTACAATATTGGTAGACTCTCTGGACGATTTACATAGCTGGCAGAATAAACTTCTGACGGCACCGATATTATTAGACGTACAATGCAAAACAATGCCAAATGCAGACGAATCTCCTCATATTGAAGAAGGTGAGCGTATAAAACAGTGGGTGAATACAGTCAAATCTACCAATAAAGAAGATGTTTATATATTTAACAAAAAGAACGACTTGGAAATTCAGTGACAAAGAAATGTTGTCTTTACTGTAAAATTTGGGCATTGCGATTATCTATCTATTGGTTTAACACGATAAAAGAGTCTTACAGCATCTAAGTTTTGTAATAAGAAAAGCTATGCGTTAAAAAATAAGAAGTTGGAAATGAAAATATATTGTGACGATTGAAAAATGATAATCCCATCACAATTTCATTGTAATAATATATTAATTTGCATTATCTAATTTGGTGTTGAATGATAATATATGGAACACAAGGCAACTCTCGCATCATCTCGCTAGATCATGGCGTATTGTATTTTGAAATACCATGTATAAAATCAAAGTTATAACCACGAATATAGTAGCTATTATCAGTGATTTCAGTAAGCTGCGTTTTGTTGTTATACTATATTATGAGTGCTAAAACGTCATGAGTGCTGCACAGAGTGTAGATGTTATTGCAATCCGTAAAAAAATTCACTCAACTGTCTTATAGCTTTGTTGGTCGGTTGTTTTGCTCATGAAGATCTGTATCACTAAAATTATTGGCATTTATGTTGTTTTAGGATATTGGGCAGTTGTGGTGAACACTAGGAATTCGCTTATCAGAGAACTTATGGAGCCTGGGTTCAAAGATGCCGAAGCGGCAATTAAGGAAGGCAGACGGTATATGCTAGAGGTAAGCATAATATACTCATGGAATAATCGAGAACGCCATAAGTGCTATTGTTCAAGACAATTGGCATGTCCAAATGAATGTAGTATGCATATTTTTTTCTTTATTTTTTTCTTACCCACACATGCATGTTTAGTTCGATTTTAGAGAGAGCCTAACAGACTGGTTTCGAAAGACTGTAAACCCACATGTTAAGTGTTATTTTGCAAAACTGAAGCTAACGAATCACATGTTCTTTGAAGACTTGAATCGTATGCTGTGTGGTTACGAAAAGTGGATAGGGGTAATACTTGGGATCATTTGCTGCCCGTGCATCACATGTGGAGTCTGTGTTAATATGGTAAGATCCGTAATAGTTAACTTTATATCAGCAACATTAACACTGCAAATAGACTAAGGAAATCTTCTACACTCAACTATGATAATGTCCCAGCAAAATGTGTGCATGTTTTGAAATTTTCGAACGGACAAACCTATATGTGTCATTGCGCGTGTCACTACATGAAAACATGTTAATTCATTATTGGTGTATGTATGTATGTACATTTGTCCCTGTTAATAATAAAGCAACTTACGAGCAACATCAATATTGTCACAGGATACCACAAACTAGTTCTGATAAGTAGGCGACATTCTATTCGTTTTCAGACATTCGTCCGCTGGTCGACAAAAATGACGTCACTGTGCCTATAGAACAAACAAACACACACACACAATGAGAGTTTCCATCAATGTGTTCGTACTTTCTCAAACATGAACATAAATGCCAGTCAGTTACTGTACAAATAACAATGGACGCAGCTACTTGTTGTAGCGTTGGAAAATTCAACGATGAATTTCGTGAACAATGGTATCTGCATTTGGCGCAGTTTGTTGACTCAGCATATCATGTGTGAATACACACAATGTCATCACGTTTTTACACAATAGCTCAACATATTTCTTTTGGCGCGTCATTCGTAAAATAAACAATGTTACAGACAATATAAAAAAATCATATTTCAATTTCTCATTGAATGATTGACCATGCATTAACATGAGCAGCCTCTGCAGTGGTGTCACGCTGGCATAATTCTCTCTATGCCGTCATATGCAAAATATCTCAATGGGATTTATTTCCGGCGCCATATTTCTATTGTAATATATATAATAACACTTCTTTATACTGATTAATTTGTTAAAGCTGCTGGCAATTTATTATAATCATTCAATTACTCATTTATACTGTGCCTTTTCAACTTTCCCTCTCATATGTCTTCCCCTTTGGTATTACCTTATGCTATTTATAACATGTACCAAGATATTTGTGTTAGCGTTATTTTTAATGAAATGAAATGATGACTATGTTCTCATTTGTCTGCCTGTATGTAATAATGAGAAAAGCTAGAAGAGTTTAAATACAAAATTATAATCTACAATTTATCCATCAGATGCCCCGTGGCACATGGGGCCTCTACCCAACAGGAAAGCCCCGGCGTGATGTTTTTTTTCTTTTCTTTCTATGCGGTTTGCTCAATCAGAAATGTGAGGTGGTTAACCTCCACGACAGTGACAGCAAATCAAACTTGGTTGTCATGACACGCTGACCTAAAGTCTCAATAGTCATCCAATCGTAATTATACATTCAAATATCAGATAGAATGGTTTCAAATTATTCACTCACGCGCATGACGCCGTGCTAGATTTGACGTGAGAATGGTATGAGAATGGTAACAGAAATTGTCAATTAAATATACGTCAGATCACAATACCTGTCAATCATTACTTTGTAACTACTTTATGGTTACGTTTAAGTTCGAGTACACAGACGTCATGAACTTGTTTATTGACTCTTAGTATTTATTGTTAATTAATTACCACTAATTTTACATTAAGTTTTAATTTCTTTAGATCCGTGTTATAAATCGGCTTGAGAAACACATCCACGTAACTGGCACTATCAAAGCACTGAAGCTCACAGTCAGCAAGGACAAAGGTAACACAAGTAAGTTGTCTCGATATCAAGTTATGCAGCTCCATGGAACCGTCTCTCGTACTTGCTTGAACCAATCAAGTTAAAACTTCACACCTACATCACACATAGGGTTATATATCTCGCGTCTATAATACAAGTTATATCATAGACAATAACTTGCTGGTAGTTATTCTAAACACAATCAACAAGAGTTTGTGGCTATTACGTGTAACACCTTATTCAATGCCAGTCCTACCACGTGTCTGTGTCATTTAACATATTCATTATTTCAGGATCAAGACTAGGACAGCGTACGATAAGCGGTGGTGGAATGAACCCGACAGACTCATCGAGTTATGGTGCAACAGATGACGTGTCGACAATAACTGAGACAACGAAACTTCTTGAATAGCTGCGACAGATAATAGATGTATGTTACAGTGCAACATTCCATTCTGTACAACAAAGACTACACAGTGAATCAAGAACCACCGTGAAGTCAAAATCAAAGGCACGGTTAAAAGTGTCTTTACTTTGGTAACCATAAGCATGCCGACGTGTTTAATAATAGGAATACAGGAATCATGATTGCCTTATCACGGGAGTGTGATTTGATTTAAAAATAAATCATTTGCAGATTAGAGGCAATATGATATATTAACATCGTTGTAAGTCTATCCGGATATCCTTGTTTATAGTTACTCGTGTCTCGTATATGGAGTGTAACGTTGTCTCATCACAGGGTTTGCAGCATTAATCACACCCTGCTACTATCATTTTGAATTGAAAATGATCTTCTCATCACCAAGTTCACGTGATGCAATGAGTATCGAAAGCCCTATTGACATCACTGACAACTTGTTGGACACGTCTATTTAACCATTGCCGGGTTGTTTAAATAAAAGGAGAAAGTTGTACCCTCCTGTGATCTCATGAACAATTGTCTGAATTATTGTATAAACGCGAAACGAGTGGTTTTAAGAAAATGCACATAATTAAAACAATCGATTTGAGGTAAAAGATTGGAGCATAACAATGACAATAGGTCAGCAAAATGTGAACTATAATTACACATTGCATTCGGCTTAAAATAAGAAAAAAATGTACAATATATTTTACTGTATATTGATTATTAAGGGATGACAATTTGAATTCTATATAATGCGAGCGATACACTCGTATTAAGAGAATACAAACAGAAACTAATAAATGCCCGGATAAACTGAGTATGAGCGAACAATAACACAATATAAGTGTGCATATTCTTTAAGTGAGTCAGATATTCGTCACTACTTACGTGATCAAAGAAATTCTTTGCAATAAAAACCGTGTTTATATATTAAGATACCATTTTGTCTCTGTTTGAATTATGAAATAAAATAAAATATAATATTGTTTAAATTTAAAGAAGAGTGTATTATTCCAGAATATTTAACAATAAATGATAATAAAATGTATTCTACTATATTTACTTCAAAGTTGTCTTGAACACCCTATGAGGAATGTGGTATAAGGGGTCGACCATTTAAAATTATGGGGTGATTGAATGATTTGCAAGCTAGACACCGAAAAAGAAAAATGCCTGCAAAGTTTGTTGGCAAAATTCAAGAAAACTAAAACAAATACAGACAAGATTACACAGGTCACACTCTTCCAGCACTCCCATGATTTCAAACGTTTGACCCATAAAGTGTTTTGAATACAGCATTATGAGTTTACTAGGCTAAGCTTGGAATCCAATATGAATATGATTCATAATACCGTGCGCTGCCCGGCATTGGAATGCCATATTCTGATGTTATTGGTCGACAGATGTCACGTGGTTATTACACGATAATCAACCAATGCCTGAGACCAATACAATACATGAACAAGATTGTGTGTGTATGAGTTAACAATGTACAAAGTATTCTCACATTTTGTCGAGATGTTTAAACAACAAAACCACCATGATTCTTTCGGGTTATTTTCATTTGGAACATGTCCTTTGATTGTGTTACTACATCTCATTTTTTTCGCGAACCTTTCACGTATACCTGAAATACAAATTTTAAAAATGCATTTTCCGTGACAGGTACCACGCGTTTGACATCGTGATGTTCAATTTCAATCTATGGCGATAGATGGCGCTCTTCCACAAGACGCGACTCGCCGTACTATATACAAATTAAGCGTGTGAATTGACCTTTTTCTTTAGGTCCATGACCTGGGGATGCGGCGAAACATGGCCGACAAAGCGTACACAAAAACGCTGATAATCGGCGGGGCTGCGGTGCTCGGTATAGCTACACTTGGAACGCTCGTATATCGTAGTCGAAAGAAGAAGCCCGTATTCAAACCCGTTGGTACGTTGGATGACTTGTATATCCACCCTGTGAAGTCATGCCGTGGTATACGACTAGACAGCGGATATTGTACCTTGAAGGGTCTGCGGCACCAAGTGTTTACAGACAGGTAAATACCCAGGGGGTCGTAAACACCTCGTCACTGCGCAACTGTACGTATTAAGCGTATATACTGACTGTATAAGTAAATTTGCTGGGTAGGGGGCTCCGTCACCCGTGTTTTAGCGCATTTTGACAATCATGATTATATCCCTCCTGTCGACTATTCAGAGTCAAGGATTTGCAGCGGGTTTGGTCCCGGGGAGACAATTCAGTTAATTAGCATACAAATTACAGGTACCTCTGCAACTTTTCAACAACAAAGTTTATTACTACAAAGGCAGGCGTGGCAATGACAAACAACTTGAACAGCTAAACTCATAGAAGACGAATTGGTGACCTCACAAAATACATGACCTTCAATCCGGGTCGTTTTTTCGGTATATACGAATTAGTATAAAAAATACAGTAAAAATAGTAAAGACATTCCAATTAAGGTGGGAAAAAATCACGTGGTAATAAAGTTATAATAATAGTAACAAACCAGAGCATATTTAACCATTGACCTATGATTTATATAGTTCGTGGGGTCATACCGGTGGTAACGACTCATCTACATGCAATAATAAAATAAAAGGGTGTGTTTTGGTGTAAATTTAGCCCATTCACGTCACTAACTAGGCGCGATGAATCATGCCCTCTAATTATGAAATATTATTACTATGTTTATAAAATAAACTATACTATATTTATAAAATAAAAAAAAACTGATACAAACATGATACAAATAAATAAATTGAATAATTAATTATATAAATATAGCTTTCATTAATTTTCATTTTCATCATTTTGCTAAAGATATTTTTCTCGGTTTAAGTTAAAAATTAAACTAGAAAAAATTCGTAGCTGTGCATTAGCTAGCTTTAACACTTACGGTAGCTGTTGTTGAGCAATATATGTTCAAAATAAGTCGAAATCATAATAATTATCAGGTCCAAGCACCAATGTTGTCAAACATATTCACTAAAAATCAGACCCGCTACCCAACGACGAAGTGCTTCTGTGACCTGAAATTACGTAGATGAATGAACACAATGTCTTCCATGTATTGAATAGGTCGTGTTCATTTACAACTTTACATGCAGCTTTATTTGTTCCTTATCTCACAGTTTGTTTTATGCTTTTCATGGATGACGCAATATGATATCTATTCCCTAGACACTGGATGATAGTAGACGGCGAAAACCGTTTGTTGACTATTAGCAGCCAGCCGACAATGGCGTTGATCACCCCAAGCTTATCCGAAGATAACAAGTACTTTGAGCTTAACGCCCCAAATATGACGACACTGCGGGTACCTATCCAGACAACTGAGCTCACCGAAGATGAACAACGGGTTGTTGACACAAGGTACACGTAGATGTCTAAATTTGAAATTAATAAGTTAATACAGTTGTGTTTATGTATTATAATTCCATGAGAAATACGTCATCAGCCAGGTTACTAAATAATAATGTTTAAATATTCCCTAATTCGGACTGTCTAACCCATCTCCATTTGTAGGTGTTATATTGTCGTCACCTGCGCATGCGTCAGATGACCATAGCGTGTCATTGTTTGCAAACAAGCTTCTACCCATGAGCCTTTGCGTTTTAGCGTGTGTTGTTATCGTCGCTTGAAACTCAATTCCCGCGCGTGCGCAGGTGACGACCCTCCCGCTTTAAATGTATAATTGTCAAAATTTTGTAGTCGGTGCCTTTATAAAAACAGATTTGATCTTGGTTTTGTCTACAATTACCAGTGTACTTGGACAACACATACAGGGAAAATACTGTGGTAAAGAAGCCGAAGAGTGGTTAGGACAATATCTTAAAGTCCCCGGATGTAAACTTCTTCATTGTGACGACACTATCAAACTGCGAGACATGCACGGAGCGAAGCGAATGAAAGGCTTCGATACAGTGACTGGTGATGAAGTAAGTATGGTAATTAGGTATGATAATATATTGTCTATTTTTTAGGAGATTAAAACCACGATATGTAGCATAACTGTGGCTATATTTATCACAGATTATATGTACAAATTACTATACAAGTTTTTGTGGTTAAACAGTATGCATTGGATATAATTCTGGACGTTTAGACTTCACACTTTGTGTTCGAATACAAGTGTGGTAGTTTACAATATACTTTGAATATAATTCTGGACGTTTAGACTTTACACTTTGTGTTTGAATACAAGTGTGGTGGTTTACAATATACTTTGAATATAATTCTGGAGGTTTAGACTTTACACTTTGTGTTTAAATACAAGTATGGTGGCTTACAATATACTTTGAATATAATTCTGGAGGTTTAGACTTTACACTTTGTGTTTAAATACAAGTATGGTGGCTTACAATATGTATTAAATACAATTGTGGAGGTTTAGATTTTACGCTTTGTTATTAGCTTTAGTTTTAATGCTATGATCCTTGATCTCCGGGCGACTCAGTAATTTGAAATCTATTGTGCATACACCACTTTAAAATGATATGATTATATTACTCATTGTAGGTGGCCTACCATGATGACACTGTTTATATGCTGATGAACCAAGCTTCCCTTTTAGACTTGAACAATAAGCTGGACGAGCCAGTGACCATGAGAAATTTCCGACCTAATTTCGTCGTATCAGGATGTGAACCATTCGCCGAGGTAAGAAAGAATATATAATGGGCACATTTAATTGACACACCATTAACAAATGTATCTCCTTCCTCGCTGCTGATTTTTCTTAACATTGTTGGATGATACCAGTTTCGATAGATTTTAGACGCAAATGGCTGCCAACATCTCGCCGAGAGCGAGAGCAACGAGACTTGGACAGTTTACATTTTTCGAATATTTTTCGATTTATTTTAAGCAAATTATACTAATCGTGAATCGAAACAGTTTATTTCGTTTTATTTAATATAGGATAAATGGAAATACATTAAAATTGGTGACGTCATTCTGAGATACATTAAATTTGATGAAAGGTAAGATATTGGATCTGGATTGATTTTGTCCGCTTTTTATTGTTTGTTTTTTTCATATTAGACACAATGTTATACTCTGGATTTAGCAACAACGCTGACAGTGAAACATATGTACAATGATATGTGTAGATAATTTTATTCCGCGTGTACGTCAATCAAACTCGTTTAACCAATGATATTTCGGACCGTAGTGGACGGTTTGAACAGTTTGCTTGTATAAACAGAAATGAGATTGACGTTTTATTTAAAAACGAAAAATAAACAAGCAAAAGCAAAATCGTATATAAATAAGTAATGAGCTATCTTTTATTATATACAAATAAGTTCAATAATTTTATTTGTACATATATTGAAAAATCGTGTAATTATTATATATAATTTGCTTATATCAATAAATGCACAAATGACACCCTATACCTCAATGACCTTGTAATAGAAATCGACTAAAAATAAGCGTTAGGTTGCAGTGCTCGAGAAGTACTCATTTCATTTCAGGTGCCGGTAATCACCATCTTTGTATTTTGCGAATAAATGTCGTCGCACAGTCTTTCCTGTTCTTCCTTGGATTTAGCCCATTATCAGAAAGAATATTTTCCAGATCGAAACACAAATCGAACGTCGGTTCACTGTCGGAGTCTGTGACATTTTGTGCGTTGTGAACACTACAACAGCGCATGCGCAACGAAGCAATCGAGGTCAATGGATTTTCGTTATTGGCTCCGGGTCAATAATGATTTCTTGACTACCAAGGGACCGCCAACGTCTAGTTTTTGAACAAAAGGCGTAATAATACATGCTCACTAGCAAAACAACCTGGGACGAATAATAGCAAGTTCTTTCACAGGCTCACTCAGTAATATTTATAGAAATATATGTTTGTCCGACGATTTTGTTATAATCTCGCAATACTCAATCATCTGCACTTCTCGTAGGGTCTTCATCGTATATCACCCCACTTACATACTCCTCATCATATGAATCTTTCGTTGAACTTCATGTTATTTGCGAATACGTGTTTCGTCATACATGTACATAGGAGATTGAAAATGATCACATACTTGCTACACATTCCCGAAAATTAAATCTGTTTTTGTGACCAGAAACACTTTCTCTACTATCAGCATTGGTATTTTGTAAAAGACAATGGCGGGAACATTCTCTTCGAACAACTATTGTTGAAATACTCATTCTTTGTTTGTTAGTGTTATATATTGATCTGCGTTTTGTATTTCTAGGTGTAGAATGACGACTGTGAACCCAGAAACCGGTGTAATGTCTGAGAAGAACGAGCCACTCAATACGTTGAAAACGTAAGGAAAAACTCGCCAATGCAACCTGCAAAATTATGTATTCATATATTCTTTGCAAAGTGCTTTAGTGAATCGTGAAACAAATAATTAGTATCTGAGATCAGTTTCGTCATGTAAAATTATACAAAAATCGTCGCAGTAAATTATTCTATTTTGTTGGCAAAAATGTTTATTCGTTCTATTTTATTTCAACTAAGATACCGTAAGTGCAAGGAAGAAGACAAACCACTGTATCGTAACGCTCCTTTGCTTGGAGTGCATCTTGGGATCGACGCCGCGGGAACTGTGAAGTGCGGTGACGTTGTTTATGCAGCATTCGAATGAGCGTCCTCTTATGACCTCCAAGTTAATTGTATGACATGAAACGTTGCAATATTTCACTATTCTAAGGCATCTTACTGTTTTTCAAATATTAAATAAATTACATCTGAATAGTAAAATGTGTGTATCAGAATGCGTGCTTGGAAAATACTAAATAAACACTAATATATTTGAAACAAAGAATGTGTTTTAATTAAACTTGTAATTTTTAAAACCATGAAGTTTTCATAATCTTATAAGAAAGTCAGAGTTTTACACTAAATTGGGGTCAACTAAAACATCTGAAGATAAATATAAATATAAACTGAAAAGTGGGGGCCAAATACAAAACAGATTAAATTTAGGATGAGCAAAAAGCAAACTGTTCCATTGTAGTTCAAATTCTTCAAAACAATTTTTGACCCAGTGTAATAATTCATTATACATGTTACACTAAAAGCAATATCATTTACTCGTCTGTAAACGCTGTACGGACATGTGTGAAAGTGTTTTGGGCGCGTTCGAATATCTTCTTTATTTGGGAATTGTGCGTTAAGCATTGGTCGATATGATCACCGTACCACCTTCGTGCATGCTTTGCGGTATTCGATCCTTTATTCATAAAATTTGACAGTCATAGATTCGACATTTAACAAACCAATTTTGTCTTATATATGCTTATCAATTATCACATTGTTCTAGTTTGGCTAAATTATTGTGGAATACTTTATTTTCGCTTGGAATTAATTTTCGCCGAAGGAATGATTCAGTGAAAATAAAATCCAGCAAATATACCTTTTTTTTCCTATATTTTACATTTAACTTGTCAAAAATCATTGAAAATGAATTTCCAAAAAAAGTCTATTCAACGAAAATTAAATCCAGCTAAAATAAAGTATTTTACAGTATTCAATCGTTTATATGTCTAACAATGGAATTACCTTGTTTTATAAAACGTGTATATATGCGTTATGAGGGTGATTTATGACCCAGTGCACCAACAGCAAGGTTATTTGAACCAAAACACAGTCGCCGTGGACTTATTGCTGTGAGACAGACAAAATAAACGCAGCCTGTGACACAATCAAAGGCACCAAATAAACGCGTTAGAAATAAACGCCTGTCCCTAGCCTTGGGTCCGCGGCGTTTTGGGGTCCGGATAGGGTCAATCCTAAAAACCACGATAGCCTCTCACTCACTCACCCAAACACAAACCCACCCACACATACATGACGCCACCATGGCTGATAGTGGGAAAGTAAGTTCTTATAGAATGGGGAAAGTTAAATACCTTGAAATATTTTAATTTGAACGCTACCCTTAACCACACATAAACGCAGTATGGTTGAGTAGTACTACATATTTTTAGCTTAATATGTTGATATTTTCTCTTCTCGTGAAAGGCACGAGAGTACTTGTGAGATTTGTGACATGCAAACACTCCTCCATCTGAAACCATATTTTTCAATGTACTCACATCACAGAATGATGCGATTTTGCAGTGTGTTGCTGCGTTTGTCTACCACGCTATGAAACTTTTTTTTGTCGTTTTTATTGTTTACAACATGAATCAATATTTCTTTTGTTGATAACACTTATTCCCTATTAGTTTTAACACAAAAAGTTTACATTTATTGTCATTTATATTTGAATTATGACTGAAAGTGGAATAATTTCCTCCTGTGTATCAAAATAATACTTATTTTATGCTAATTAGTTAAAACAAGCGTTCAATATGTGATTATTATTTTAGTGAATAATTCTATTTACATATGTTGTGCAGATTCTGACTTATACTTATTTGATATTACTGTTATGAATTAGATTCCACTCATATATTGTACTAAATTGACAGGCATTGCTGATTGACTTTGGCTTTCAACAAATATCCATCATATTTGAAAGACAGAACTGTTTAGCATATTACCTGACCTGTACTGAAAAATCATTAGCTTTGTATTAAATTTTTTTTTTTTTTGTTACTCGGTACAAATAAAGAATTTAAATTAACTTTCACATTCAATATTTCCCATCATATTGATTTGTAGTAAAGCGTCATTTAAATGTTTATTCATTTATGGGTGTCGATGCAAATATCAGTCACGGTGAGGGCGGTCGTCGGATGATGATTATTGGTTCCTGTAGTGTGGAATACAATATCGGTCATCGGCTTTCTCAGTCATCTCCGGTGATTAACATCCAGTTCTCGGAAAAGCAACGAATTACTAGGATCCGTCATCCGTAGTTATTCTCTCTGGTTACAACATAAGTGTTTCAACATACGTTTTTATACGTATATTGTAAGTCTTACGTATTTGCAAAATAAAGTTTAAAAGGTAGAAGCCTACCCAGAATTTTATTAATTTCACAATAAACTGTACTCCAAGGCAGTATATAAGTATTAAAAAAGGTCGGGTTTACCAGCCATATTTTCGAGAAATTGATGGTTGTATTTTAGTGGAAAGTCGCCATTTTGACACTGTTATAACACTTTTACCACGGCAAAATCTAGACTGGTGACATATGCTGAAAAAATCGTATATTGTTTATGATGGAGTACTTTTTGTTGTTCTGAATTATTTAAAAACGTATTTAAAATGTCAAAGTGTCAACAAAAACACTTTTTCTTTAACATTGTGTTCTATGGAATTGTTCTAAAAATACCGATTTTTAATAAATATTAGGACAAAAAGCTTAACTGTAACACACAAAATAATGCCATTTCACTCTACCATGGGACATTAGCTTCATGATTGTACATAATAAACTAATGAACATTGTCATGCGAGTAATGACCAACTTTGTCAAAAAATATGAGTAGGCTTCTACCTTAATACTTTGAATTCATATATTTATTATAATTTGTAAATGCAAACAAGCAAACAAACATTACAACATGAAACACAGGATTAGAACTCGCTACTGAGCCGAAATAAAACACAGTTCGAAATGGCGTATAGTGAACACTGCCCGCAGCGACTAGACGCATGGAGCCTGGAACAGCCAATGGTGGCGCTGTATACAATCGAGACCTATTGCGGCTTGCCGTAGCTCATTTAGATTTGGTTGTAAAACGAAAAAGTTGATGTTAAATTTCGTGGCCGGTTTAGTATGATAGAAAGCTTTTAACAGACTTCAAATAACCACAATAGACAGAATGGGGGTCAAGACCGAATGTACGTCATTCTGGCGTTTCATACTAAATGCTTTCTATTAAAGCATGGAGGTAGAAAAGAGAAAAGGTCGGGTTAGGTCGGGTTAGGCTACCTCCATGATTAAAGTGGGGTAATCGTCACCAGCACACGCGCGGTAATTGAGTCCCAAGCAACGATAACAACACACGCTAAAACCGCAAAGGCTCATGGGTAGACGCTTGTTTGTAAACAATGACACGCTATGGCCATCTGACGTATGCGCAGGCGACGACTCCCCCGCTTTAATAATTTCACTTTCAAATAACATTCATTAGATATCTCTACGTCATAACCTCGTTAAAGATTATAGCATAATGTGCACGCGGTATGCATGCTTCGGGCTCTTTTTCCGTATTCCACAACGCATGCGTCATCACAGTGAGGTCAGTTGAAATGTACGTTACCTTGTACACAGTTTGTATACTAACTGATATGGGTAATACAAACATGGGGTCGTGTGTGGATGAAACACACAATAGCCAAGTTCTCCAATGCTCGCAAAATGTCTGAGGGTTTTGTAATCAATTGCAATGTGTAAGAAAACATGTGTCAATAATATGAGAGAAATGAATTTATCATAATTGCCATATTTTGTTTTGGTGGCATTCTAGTAAAGTTTCTAAAAATACCATCGAGTAGGCGTATGTGTGGGTTTTTTTTTGGGGGGGGGGGGATTTGACGCTTATATATTTTTTCGTTGCGTGTCATTTTGTCGAATTGTTGTTATTACACTTTGATTTTGAGATTATAGTTCGAAGACACTATTAACGGAAAAGTAACGAGAATGGAAACGCAAATAGGCCATACGTGAGAATCACGTGACACGTGACACGTGGCTACATACTGGTATATTATTGTGCAGTACATGCAATATGTCGAAGCTGGACTACACCACCGCTTTAATCACTGGCGGGGTCGCCATTTGTACAGCAGCCGCCGTTGGTGTGTTTATTTATCGTGCTCGTAAGCGAACAAGAGTATTTAAAGCAGTCGGTGTTTTAGAAGAGATGTACCTCCATCCCATTAAATCGTGCCGTGGTGTCTTGGTGGATAAAGGTTACTGCAACGTCCAAGGCTTGCAGTACAAAACCCTGAGAGATAGGTATTTGTGTACTTTATGTGTATATTTTTGTCCACAAAGTCCACACATATTTGATTATGAAAATGAATCTTAAAACACTATTTTACTGGATGACATTTTACTGTATATATCACTACTATTGAAGTCACAATTATATTATAGTAATGGGAGCGTTGTCAAACCATTGAGGCGATACCAATTCCCCTGATGCATACTTCTCAATGGAATGTCAGTTAATCCCACCTTATCTTTACCCAAGATTCACTAGACCACTTTGGAACATTGTCCAAATGCACGAGTTGGTGTTTACATGTGTAGGTCCAATCACAGGGAGCCAATGAACTGGCTGGTATCTAGTGTATAACAATCTATTTCAATGTTGACCATGTCCACGACATGCATTCCTCCTCAGATCTTACATGCATGTCTGTGTGGCAGAATTTATGAGTAGACTTGTGTCATGTTGGAAGGGGAATTCTTAAATATTCTGGTTTAAAACGTGTCATTATTATTCGTTCAGGAAAAGGTTGTTGTAAAGATATTTGCTACAGGAACACATATAACACAACAGTGGAAACGAACTGGTACCACTTTTGAAACAATTCCCTGAAAACATATGTGTCAAAGCATCTCGTGTATCAAACGAAATCGTCAGGATACTTCAAAACACCATCTTTCACTACCATCACAGTAATTAATATAGTTAATATAGTCCCAATGATTGTGTGTGTCATTAGCAATTAGCAATTATAATCTGACGGAAAACTGTCATCAAACTCCATAAATGCATAAAAAACACAATTCATTAAATAGTGAACACGTCGATGTATAACATTGAGAAATAGTACTTTTATATCAAAATATGCCCAAATATCAATTAGGACGAATATTTCATTGGGTCATATATAAATTGTATGAATTATGAATAAAGACCATATTTAAGAGTTTTCACGTCTTATTTACATCTTGGGATAGATTCTGTGCACGCAAGAACTTAATTATAATATCATGATCTGTGCTACCATACGTTGACACAGTACCGTGAGTGAATTACTAATAATAGAGCACATTTAATATTCAATTGGCTGGTGCTTCGTCGATTATTTTCCACCACAGTACTATCACAGAGTTTTACCCTCGGGGTGTTTCTATGTGTTTACGCCACTCTGAATGATCAATGAGTAACTTTTACTCTATGAATTTGGTGAGGTGTTTGTAACCCATCCATCATCTTTGCATTCAGACTGCTAACTTAAGGTAGGAGACAATACCACTGCCAGCAGGGTTAATTTTAAAATCCAATCATCCACGTCGTCAACAATTATCGGTTGGCTTGCTTGATATCACAAGTATAAAAGAGTATATAATCGGGTTTCTTTGCAGTCTTATAATGATTGATATAATTGTAATACATCCCGAAGCCTTAGCAGATTCAGACGATGTCATGGTGTTCCCACGATATGTTGTCCAGTGCCTCATATCTCATCATCGGTGATCTATTTGGAACAAATGTTGTCACTGGCAAGTGATTTTTTTTCATCAAATTGTGCAACGTTGATGATTAGAATGATATTGTACATAAAGTGTTTGAAGGTGGGAAACAAACCCGACAATCACCAAGATACTTTGCGAACGGCAAAACTTGTTCATCTAATGCCGAGATTGGCTGGTTCCCGCCTCAAGTACCATGGCGTACCAAGCCACAAAAGGTCCTTAACAAGTGACGGTTGCAGCCACTCTCCAAGGCTCGACTGGTTTCTGCCGTTGGTGGTGGGTCGAGAGTCCGAAATCAGTCTGCCACACGCGAGATTTTACACTTCAATCCGAGAATTTACACGTTTTTTAAAAGATCCTATGTTACTCATAGTCTTTTCTTTTAAATATTTCTATATTTTATAGAATCAGCAAGAAACCAGCAAAATGCAGGAATATGTGATTTTTCGTTTACTGCGAGATCTCGCGTAATGGGTGAAAAATGAGGATCAAACGTCTGCCGCAAAAATCGAATGATTTGTTTTTGAACTTAAAGCTTAACTTTTTAAAGCTGAATGTCGAAATACCGATCTCTTGAAGGGGAATAAGGCGTTGAGATGACCTTACTTCAATATGCATAACACATTATGAAGCGTGGGATTATCTCCAAATTACTTTCGACATTGTCGAATACCATGCTATGTTTTGACGCCACTGCGACGCTATGACCTGTTTTTACAGGGGGATCTTGCAGTGAACAGGAAATGGTCTACTGGATTCACGTGACTAATTGACGTAATTTGAAAACTGTTCTAACCCAGGGTTCTAGCATTTCTAGCTATTTTTGTACACTGACCCATCAATTTGTGATATTATGCGTACCGTTGGAAGCTTTCGCAGCACCATGGATCCACATACAAGACAGACCAACAAGTTTGGTGGTATAAAAATATGAAAACTTTTTTATTAAACAATACCGCGAATTAATTGTGGCTGAGCAGCATAACAGATATACCAGGTTCCGTTTAGAAAAATGTATGCGAATCAACTCCGAGGCCTTGTATGGAGTGAAAAGGTCACGAGACCACCACCCATATGGTGTTCCACTATAGTCCAGTTTTTACATCCACTGTTCCAAATACCATTGTTACATTAGATCAGGGGAACAATAGAGATGAGATCTGAGCACCATTGAACAGTATTTAAACAGTAAAGATAGTTATATATTTCCTCCAATTGAAGAACTACACAATAGCATTTATTTAATCATATACTAGTATATAAATGATCACGTATATTGTTAGAATCTGTCGGTGTATTTTGTTCATATAATATATAATGATATTGTATTTACGTCAACATAACATTTCAATTGAGGTGCTGAGATGACACAACGAAAACAACTATTTAATCATTAACAACTGTGGAGTGATGTCAATCCATTCCTTATTTTATTAATAATTACATAGTGTGGTAACGTAATGACTCGTTCTTTCTTGTGTCTGTCGACAACTAGGTTTAGTTGCGCGTCGATAGTGGTTGCAAACTGTGTTATTTTCTTGTATTATTCAATTCACATGCATATATTTCTTAAATATTGGCTGATATATCTACCTTCCCCAATAATCAGAACTCATTCTTTCGCAGATACTGGATTATAGTGAATGACAAGAACATAGTCCTGCGGATTCGAAATGAGCCGATGATGACGTTGATCACGCCAACTTTGAGTGCCGATAACAGATACATGTACTTGGATGCCCCGAATATGACGACCCTAAAAATACCTATTGATACAAGAGAGGTTCCCAAGGGTGAACAGAAACTTATTGATATCAGGTAATATACTAGTGTACATTATATTTGGAAGTACAATATGGCGGGTTTGTTGTGTTTATACAATTGACCACGCGCAGTAGCGTGGCAAATTTCACGAGTTGTGTGTGGCTTGATAGATGGGGTGGGCAAGGGCGGATAGCTGGTACAGGTTGCAGGAAATACCATGCAAATGCATTTTACGTTTCTACAGGATATGTAAGATTCCAATTATAGTAAAAAATATGTTTTTACACTTTACAGATAAAGCAAATTCCTAATTACATTTTACATTTTATAATATATTTGATAATTTGTGTTTATAAATCAAAATTACGGCATTTAATGTGGAAAATGCTTTATACGCTTACACAAAATTATACTTTTGTAGAATTTACAGGACGAATAAAATAGCTGATTACATTTTACAACTTGTCCATGTCTATGAATTTACATTTTTTATTTATTTAAATTACATTATTACGAAAATAAAAACAATTGATTACGGCTTACGAAAATACTCCTTCTTGCCGACCCTTCTTGATGGAAATTGATCTCGGTTGGTACTCGAAAAAAGGTTATGATTGTGTGAACCTGGTATACACAGAACGTGCATACACAATCTATCATAACATTACACCGTATCATGAGAGAAATATACTGCAATGTAATGTGACGAATACACTACTATGTATAGCCTACTAGGTTACTAGTGTTTATATGTATTCGTCATGTTTAATATTTTCTGAAATGAGATACATACATCACATACGTTTACATTTTTCATAGCTGTATATCAAAAACTTATCTGATATTGTAATTCTGCATGAGTTTTTTTTTTTTTTACAAGACGTATTTATCTTGTGAATTGCAGTGTGTATGGTACCGACATAAAAGGCTACTATTGCGGTAAACAATCCGAACAATGGCTGACTACATATTTGAAGGTACCCGGATGCAAACTTCTCAACTGTGACGACGACATCAAATTGAGAGACGCCAGTGACGTCATCAGACCTAGACGTGTGAACAGAAAGGGGGATTTTGTAAATGGACATACTCTAACATTGTTTATAGTAGCGCCACATCTTCGTACAGGTATTCATACAATTTATGTCCATACTATATTTATTACCACCAGTCAATGTCCCAAATATCCCAAACCTGTATATGATAATATGTTGTCGAATTTCATCGGTTTAAAGCAGCAGGGTCGGCACCTGCGCACGCGCGGGAATTGAGTCCCAAACGACGATAACAACATAGTTTACGCTAAAAACGCAAAGGCTCAATGGTAGACGCTTGTTTGTAAACAATGACACGCTAGGGCCATCTGACGCATCCGCAGGTGACGACACCCCCGCTTTAAACTATTCATTGTGGCAAATGTATCACTGTGACCACTAGCGGATCTAGAAATTCGGTAATGGGCGCCCTAAATCCGCGCGTGGTGACAGGAGTAACAAAAACAACCAGGTACAGTGGTGGACATAAAGATGTACTTTAATTTATAAACGTATTTATAAAAAATATAAATAGCAATACTGTACGCGCATTCTTGTTGTACATTATATTAGTCCAACCAATACATGTACAACTCAATAAATTAACTTGCATAAATCATTACTAGAATATTATATTTGTTTTTATAATTATGAGATTCCAAAACATTTTACAATTCTTGGAATTACATTGAATATTTTTTCTTTCCAACAAATGTACACTTTCTGTTTCTTTATATGTGGTTCAGAATTATGTGTCAAAAGTTAAAGTAATACAAAATAAAATGTACGTAGTAATAATAATAATAAAAATACTTACTAAATAATAAAAATATACAGTAAAAATAAAATTAAATATATTAAATTAAATTAAATGTCCGCCGTACGATATATCAGATTTGTATCAGACTGAGCTTTAAAGCGCATGCTGTCCAATCACGGTGCGTTCGCCAGAACACGTGATTCGTGAATCACCAATGCCAATGTATTCCTACGAAAATTTTAAACAATGAACTGGTATATTGACCAGTATAAACCAATAGCGCTGCCCTAGAAATAAACAAGTAACATTCTAACATGCACTTATTTCGTTCATTTACTTTACGTCAACATAACCAGTGCCATATTTGTGAAAGTTCATTTTAAATAACGCAAGTAACCCATTAAACCGTACCGTAATTGTTGTTTTCATATATAAATTCCAGGTGGCGTATGCTGATTACGCTGCATTTATGCTACTTTCCAAGGAGTCATTGACGGACTTGAATGAAAAATTAGAAACACCCGTTTCTATGCGATATTTTCGACCGACTTTAGTAGTTTCTGGATGTGAACCCTTCGCTGAGGTGAGCGTAATTATGTTTATACTGCATTCCCATCAGGGACAGGCACAAAACGCAATATGTCATTGAGTCAGAACTGCCTTCCTTCATGGGTGATATATATGCCTTATGTTCTAGACAGAACTGCGACATCGTCATTTGTGTCAGTAATTCGTGACAAACTCCTAATGTATTGTTTTATGTTTTGGTCAGTGAGGTTGTTTAAATATAACAGCTTTTAATTGAGTCGAACAGGTAACTATTATGAAATCACGTTTTAAATGCATTATTAGTCTCCATTCGTGCCACCTAGATTGGTCCATGTCTGTGACTATGAGGTTGTACTTTTTTGCTCAGCAGATTTTAAATCACATATATTTGAGACATCTATATCTATCTCTCACATTAATAGAACCATGCCTTGCAGCTGTTTTTTTAATTAAATCAGCAAAGGTGTATGTCTGTCATGTGATGACTTCTCAAAGTTATTCCTTAATTTAATAAGGTGAATAAGTTAAGTAAGGGAAAAATAATATATACATGAAACGTGTGACATCATGAATGCATAGGTTGTAAGTGCTGTAAATTGGACAGCCAATGTCTAAAACAATCAGTGCTTGTCAATTACATATACATATACATATATAATTACATATATATATATAATTGTCAGAAAAAAACGGCATGTCCACTGGACGGGAAGTGTTTGCAGTCCGGCGTGATATACCAAGCGGAAGTTAAGC